TTATATATATATATATATATGTGTGTGTGTGTGTGTATTATATATATATATTACGGTACTGCATGCTTTTTGCTGGTTTTGTTTTGTGTTTTTGTTTTTTCATAGATCTAGATCTATCTTGATTTGGTGCCTAGTGTTGGTAAGAAATGAATACATGTGTCAGCGGTACAATGTAGTTATGTAGCTTGCTCACATCGGTCAGTCTGTATCAGAATTCAGGAAAAAACCCTGGCTCAAAAAAAAATAATTTTTTTTTTACCAATGTCCACGAAACTTAAAATTTCTGCTACATGACACAAAGCGTTTTGATAATACATATATTATCTTGTTCTAACCGTGGTCAGACGAAAATGAACAGGCAATACGTGCCGGAATGTTATTGTAAGAGTAAGAGTTAGATTTTCGATCTACAAAAACGAAGTAGGCCTACCTCATATTGTTATAACCACTAGATCTATTACATCAAAGGTGCCAGTATTCTCGTCACCATCATCATTGTCATCCATAACTAATCAATATTATGCTATATATATATATATATATATATATATATATATATATATATGTATATATATATGTATATATATATATATATACTTGTCATCATCGTCATCATCATCATCATCTTCATCAACATCATCATCATTGTATAAAGAAGGTATTAAAACAGTTAACACCTTGTTGTATTTCCAGAAAATATGTATTATACACAGTTCGTTCGACGTTTCGCCCGGTATAATGTATATCATCATCATCATCATCATCATCATCATCATCATCATCATCATCATCATCATCATCATCATCATCATTGCCATGAAACTGCCATGCCACACTCACACCCACGATCATCACCATGATCAACACCAACGACATCATCATGGGACCAGGTTGAACTAGCGAGACTGTCACTGTGGTCGGACCATTATTGGAGCTTGAGATGGTATAACATTTTGATTAATGAAGAGCTCAGCCCACGTTGCTGAATATGCAGCCATGAAAAGGAGGACGCCAAACATATATATGTTTGAATGTCCAGGAACAATGACAATTCGAATGGAGTTCTTTGGACGAGTGGAGGTGCCGCTAAGTATAATAATGGAGCCGTAAAAGAGCCTCGCTCGCGCTCAAAGATTTCTTCCTGGAGTCCACCAGGCCCATTAAGTAAGGGAACAAAAAAAAAAAACAAAACAACAACAACAACAAGAAAAACAAAACCGACATAATCATCACTTCTATAGATCACTACCTAAGCTTTCGACACTCTCGCTGCCTTCCTCCAGACCACGGTACCGTACCGCATTGTACTCAGCCTTGTATTATAATGTATCTAAATCTAGATCTATATATCACAAATAAAAATATTATCATAATATTTATATATTTATATTCAATTTTTTTTCTTTCAAACAACGCATGTTTTGCTTGAACTGAACGACACTTACACTTACGTTACACTCGATCTAGCTACTCGTCCTTCTGTCTGTCTACATACATTATCAGTATCACCAGTCTGTCTATCTGTTTGAGTTTCTCCATGTGTGTGTGTGTGTGTGTGTGTGTGTGTGTGTGTGTGTGTGTGTGTGTGTGTGTGTGTGTGTGTGTGTTTTAGTAGAGGTTTTACGGCACTCGCAACTCTGCATAAGGTCATATGAGCGCCAGAAGATTAGACCAAGAGGTGTTACAAGAGCGTAACAAACATAAAAAAGAAGAAGGCGACATTTAAAGGACGGTAGATGTTTGATAGGAAAGAAGAAGCAAACCACACCAGAGCACCCGCCAACCACCCACATATGTGTGTGTGTGTGTGTGTGTGTGTGTGTGTGTGTGTGTGTGTGTGCGTGTGTGTGTGTGTGTGTAAGTGTGTGTGTGTGTGTGTGTGCCTGCCTGTTGTTTAAAACTGAGGGTACTTTTGACACATGACACGCATAAAAAAACATGCATTGAGACACAGAAGGACACGTAACAGCAGGAGAGAGAGAGAGAGAGGAGAGAGAGAGAGAGAGAGAGAGAGAGAGAGAGAGAGAGAGAGAGAGAGAGAGAGAGAGAGGGGGGGGGAGAGAGAGAGAGAGAGAGAGAGAGAGGGGGGGGGAGAGAGAGAGAGAGAGAGAGAGAGAGAGAGAGAGAGAGAGAGAGAGAGAGAGAGAGAGAGAGAGGGAGAGGGAGAGAGAGAGAGAGAGAGAGAGAGAGAGAGAGAGTGAGAGAGACTCTTTAAAGTCTTTATAGCATGGGCTGACGGAGGGTACGCCCATAGACCATGGAGAGAATATTGGGTCATGGAGAGTGGGTAAAGTAAAGAAAATAAGCGCGGCGAACGACTCAGAATGGTACACAGAAAATAGCCCATTTCCTAATTCCAAACACCTGATGTGTACATGTATAGAGACAAACACCCCAAAAGATTATAACACACTTGGAAGATCTTTGGAGATAGAATAAAAAAAGCAACAACAAAATTAAATAGACTTCACACTCAATCAGAAACGTTTTAATTTATTGCAATAAAAAAAAGCAACAAATTACAATGACACACACACCCAATATAAACACAATCTGAATACACAAACACGGGGGCTCTCGTGGCCTAGAGGTTAAGGTGTTGGCCTCTCATTCAAAGGTCCCGGGTTCGAATCCGGGTAGCGACCGAAAAATTTTCTTCTCTAAAATTGTCTCCTTTCACCTCCTTTCCTGCTCTCTAGCAATGTTCTGTTGTCTGCTTTCATTTCCGCTAAGTTTCTGCCCCCACCCCCTCACCTCCTTTGCCCCCTCCTCTGGGCTCCTGACTCTTTCTGCAGCCTTTCTACTGCTACTCCTTGGCTCCTCCTTACTGCTGTCTTTCTGCCACACTCCTGATCTTCTGGTAGGAAAGGCCGAAAAATCTCGGAGGGCCCGTGTGCAAGTTGTGGACGTTAAAGATCCCTTGGTGGTCTAAAATCGATAAGAGTAGGCTTCGGCCGCCACCCGGGCAGAATTCAAAATTTCCTACCAACTGAAAATATTAGGGGTGTCCTGCGCGCTCATATGACCTATGCAGTTGCGAGCGCCGTAAAACACTTTACAAAAACAAAACAAACACAAACACCCACCCACTCTCTCTCTACACACACACACACACACACACACACGCACACACACACAACAACAACCAACAACAGCAACAACACACACTCACACACACAACAGCAACAACACACACTCACACACAGAGTGTAGATCCGTCCTC